GTGGCTTGCTGCATGGCCTTCCACTTGTTAACTGTTGCATGGATGTCATTGTTAGTGTCCACATCCTTCTCTTTTGGCGCGGAACTGGCTTCTGCATTTGTGGACGCGAGTGAGTCAACTTCATCACGATCTTCGCTGTTGTAGACGTCTGCAGTGACGCGGAGTTGCATCCCCATCCGGCCGGACTTTGGGACGTCGTACGAGGTTTCAAGAGCTTCTGCTGCCTCATTCTGACGCCCCACTGGGGAGCTGGAACCGGGTTTGACATAATCCTTGGCCATCAATTCTACCACAGCGTCCAGCTCATCGTAAAGCTCCTCAAACTCCGGGCGATCATCCTCCTCCCATTGCCAACACCGCAGCATCATGTCGTACCTATTGGTTATTTATATGCGTAAGACATCGGTGATTTGCAATGTTGCAAGTATTTAAATGAAGTAGACCGAAGACACAGGGTTGTTGTCATCACCATTTTACCAACATGTCTATCGTCTCTCAGTACACTACTAAACTTGATCTAACTTGTAGTTTCTGTACACGAGCTTTTCGTTTCACCATGTGTCTTTAAAATAGTTTTTGGTTTATTTTAAAGTTGTAAACTCATTATGACCACTGTTATTGATCTTCTCTTACATGTGAAGAGGGCCGTTATAAACCACCATGATTTATGAATTATTCTCAAAAAACAAATGTGAATGAGATAAAAAAAATATTCTCCTTCACGTACAGTTCTTGTTTGAGGCCAGGCGGGCGTGGTTCGCGGTACCCTGTGCGGAGTTCCTCCAGGAGCGTGCGTTCCCGACCCGGATAGGGCACGTTCCCGAGCGTAGCGATCTCGTACAGCACCACACCGAAGGACCAACTGGGCGTGAGAATTAGATTTGATCATGAGTTGTGCAAAAAAGTTTATATCCACATAATGATTCATTGCAGTAATGGTTTTATGGCTATCATGCGACAATATGACTAAGTGGCAGCTTAGGTCTTTCAAAAGAGGGCACATAAAAGTACATAAATGATATAGGGTCACTACATAATCTTACAACTAATATAAATTACATTCCACACAATGTATAGCACATTTTTGTTGCCAGACTATATAGTTACTGTACTAACCTTAATCTTGGACAAAATTCAAAGCAGTAATTGCACTCACACGTCACTCTTGCTTGTGTACCGGCCCTCTCGCATTAGCCTTTCCGGCGCCATCCACCTCAGGGGAATCTTCTGCTCCGCGTCCTGCCGCTGGTAGCCTCGCTCGTAGATGTCTGTTGTCAGGCCGAAGTCTGCGATCTTCACCACCAGGTCCTCTCCTACCAGCACGTTCCGGGCGGCCAGATCACCGTGCACGTAATCAGCCTGGGAAATGTAGGTCTGTTTGGAGAGAGAAAGACAGAAAACATACAATTCAAAAAGTGCAAACGTCATGTGTGAAATGGATGAACGTGGTCAACAAACAAATAAAAATGGAAGTTCATCTATGATACTTTCATGTTTAAAGTTTTAAAAATTGAAGTTCATCTATGATACTTTCATGTTTAAAGTTTTAAAAAACTTAAACCAATTGCAACACAAAAAATTATCTCAACTAGAGCTTTAGACCAGTCACGCTGGTGTTCCTCAGTAAACATGTAAACGCCATCGCACAACAATTGTAATTGGCATCTATTGCATGCTAACAAACAATGAGACTAATCGTGCCTATAAAGTGTGTAGTATGGGATCAGAATGTGCTTTTGCAGTTCATAATAGAATTCAGAGCATTTAGGCGTATGATATAAGCTCATTCTGTTTACAAGGCTGTGTCTCATAAATACAGTATATATGCGTGTGTTCGCAGTGATAATACTGTGTGTGGACTGTCTGCTTACCATTCCGTTTGCTATCTGCCGTGCTACCTGGTAGATCTTCATGTCGTCGAAGTCATACATGCTGTCTTGGAGCCTCTCATTCAACTGTAGATTTACATGAAAAGAGTCAGCATGAACAATATAATGGCTGACATACCACAAACACCAAAGGAACATTTAATTTTCAGACACTAACTTTTGGTAACTGCGAAATCGCAAATAATTGCTTTAGGGCTGCATAGCAAGCAAAACAATGAAATACATGAAGTAAAATGGGCCAACAGTTTCCAGATCTATCGAGCCATACACACACGTTAAAATGTTGAAATGGGTGGCTGATAACAACAAATTTGGCACATAACTTTAAAAGTAGTTTTTTTAAACTTCAGTTGCACATCATTATGATTATTCACTAAACAAAATAGAGCCAGCAGCTTTCTAATAGTTTAACCATTACTGGCGGAATAAGAACAAATTCAAAGATATCTACATTAAAGTTACATGGCTACAAACGGATGGTATATACATTTACCTTCCTGCACTTGAGTAGGAAGTTCTTAAGGTCTCCATACGGCATGTACTCCGTCACCAGGTAGAGAGGGTGGGACAGTGTACAACAGCCCACCAGACCAAGCAGGTTGATGTGGCCCCTCAGGGTGATGGTGGTGTCGACCTCTTGTATAAAATTGTGTATCTCCTCTTCTCTCGCGTTCTCTGCAAATTTAACAAAAACCTTTCATTGTTGATACAGTTACTGAAGCTTAACCGGTGCAATTGCTCAGGGGTAGAGTGCTTGTTTTGCATTTGGGCCAGATCATACCAAAGGCTAACTTTCTCTGCTTAATAAGTTCTGTGTGCCATGCTTTCAGCCATTATTCAATTCAATTCAATTCTTTATTAAGATATCAAACATAACAGACATGACATACAATGTTGCCTGAATGGCGTTGATATTTACAAGATATAATGTCAAAAAATTATATATTTACAGCAACTATAAAAACAGTACAGTAGATGTACAACCCAGATATCTACACAAGGTCCATTATCTTGTGCCAGACTCTATCTGTACAGTCCGGTTATAGAGTCTGATTGGCTGGTGAAGGAAAGAGTTCTGTAGTCTTTTGGTTCTGGCGGGGGATGGAGATAGTGTTTTTGTTCCTGAGTGAGCGACCGGTAGCTGTAGATCTGGAGAGAGGAACAAGGTCATGTAGGGGATGATCTTCTCTTAGCATCTGTGTGAAGAGTTTGATGGCAGCATCCTCGCGCCTTGACTTGAAGACGTGTGGCAAAATAAATCAATGAAGCTCCTGGCGTTAGTGAAGATAGAGTATTATGATAGTAACCAGCTGACGTTGACTTACCACGGACAGTTTTGGCCACCACTGTTTGTTCCGTGAGAAGACCATCAACAGCTCTCTTTAAAGTCGCAAGGAAGACGATACCGAATGCCCCTCTGCCGATCTCTTCATTCAGTCGCAGATCAGTCGGGTTTACCTCGTACTGCAGGAACTGTGGCCGAGCCGGCACAGGCGGGAGAGGTGGGGGTGGTGGTTTGCGAAAATCTGTTAATTTTGCATCTGAGAACAAAAGCAGTGAAACAACATTATGAGTGTCTTCAATAGGGCTCACAGTGTAATACAACCGTATACATCATCAATATACCCACTTTTCTGTCTCATTGAATACAATACAAAACTTATGCATTTGTATCAATGGAATACTTACAGAATAGGTGAAGTCAGTTAATATAAGCTTTTAGCAACGCAACTTCTAATTAATTGGTTTATACGTGCTTCCCGTTTGTAATACATACATGTAGTATGACTATTTACTCAATAGTTTTTGCGCATTGCTACCAAATAACAGAATGGAAAAACTGCAAGTCGTGATATCATATACCTAGAGTATCTGGATGAAAGCCAAACTGTTTTAATTCATAGTCGTCACTTTGTCCCTTTCTGCCGCGCCGGTAACCCAGAATTCCCGCTACTACTCCCAGTACAAGTAGTACCACAGATGGCACCACGGCAATCATCACCACGTGTAAGGTGGACAGTCCCGCTGTTTCAGATGAAGAAGATACTGGGATTACATAAATGTGTATATTAATGTGTATAAAGTTAAAACATCTTGCTCAAACACAAAGAAATGTTCTCACCTAGAGCTTTCGACGAGTCACTCTGGCCTGCTTCTGACCCAGTGAGATTTGCCAAGTGGCTTCTCTGAATACAAACTCAGTCAGAGAGTCAGCGATTGAGAGCCTAGCTTATAATGTATAGGGAGAGGTCCCGCCACTAATTACCTTCAAGCCTTAGTTGTGTCGGGGGGTTTAAAGGGGTTTGTGTACGTGACATGTGATTTGTACGTTAGTGCTTTAAGTGAGAGGAAAAAATAAGCGTCATTTCTATGTTAGGAAGGCTCCAAGATACCATTTAGATACGTTGTAACAGTCTGTCAAGAAATATTGGAACTTCACTTTGAAAAATCTGAAAACTAGACGATAGTTTCAAGGAAAAATAAACTTAAAGTAGACCACCCACGGGCGCATGTAGGCTGAGCGCCGCTCCAGGTCTGGTCCGACTGGCAAGTTCGTTTTTCATCGCCGCTGATCTCGTATCCAGCGTCACAATGATACGTAACGACGTCCCCATAAGAACTACCGCCGTAGATGTTGCCATTAGAAGGTGCCATCAGTGGCTGACAGAGTTTTCCTGTAACACATTTAAAACGGCGTCAGGGCAATTAACTTATTTATCGGACAATAATGATAGCAAGTAGATTTTAAATATGTTTGTCTCCAGCATTGCGTTATCTAAAGAAGGAGCGAGACATAGTTGAAACATATCGTACTGTATATTCCAAACTAATTATCAATCCCATTACAATATCACAATATTAAAACCCTTGTCCTGCTGTGCGCAACATATGTCGCGCGGCACATACAGTACCATCTATATAACACCCTGTATAGGTACGATTTGGGGGTATTCCTCGTGCAACGCTTCACACCGCAACGAAACGCAACGAATTCGGAAGTAACTATGCAACTTAGGGGCAAAAAATTTGGGGGTCTATGATCTAATTAAGACATGAAATTATTGACAAATATTGTGCCAGGAATGCCAGCAGGACAAGGGTTAAAAGCTGTCACCTACTGGAGCAAACGGGCTGCACGCCGGACCAGCTCTGGTTGGTCTGACAAGTTCTGTTTTCAGAACCAATCAGTTCGTAGGCTTCAATACAGGAAAAGGTGACTGTGTCTCCGTAAAGATGACCTTCTGTCCTGTTGCCGTTGGTTGGATGCGGTAGCTCTGGGCAGGGTTTTCCTAAGAGAGGGCGTAGGATGCTAGGTAGTTTTAGTTAGAAAAGGCTACTCGCAGTCACTAAGCTGCAGAGGCCACACAAACAGAAATGACTAAACTACTTTAATTGGGAAAATATGAAAACTCAACGAAACAAAATCATGTGAACCAAAAGAAACCACCCACGGGCGCATGTAGGCTGAGTGCCGCTCCAGGTCTGGTCCGACTGGCAGGTTCGTTTTTCATCGCCGCTGATCTCGTATCCAGCGTCACAATGATACGTAACGACGTCCCCACAAGAACTACCGCCGCTGATGTTGCCGTTAGAAGGTGCCATCAGTTGTTGACAGAGTTTTCCTGTAACACAGGCGTCAGGGCAATGAACATATTTTATTGTACAATGATGATAGCAACAAATTGCTACTAGAATGTGTAAATTGATTTTCATGACAGGGTACTTGCAGATATTTTTGTCACCATCATTGCATCATTACAAATCAGGAGCTGACATAGTTACAACGTATTGTACTGTATATTGCAAAATGACTATCAATTTGTCGGTGAAGGTTAGACATCCAGGTAATAAGATACGCCAAAAAAGAAGTTAATCAAGCAACTGGATATGATTTTGGAAACGGTCAGACGTTTCAGGTATACCTTTCTTCAGTGGCTCTAGGAGACCAGAGGAGAAATTTTGTTCTCTTTTCAAGACATCATCCTTGTCTTGACG